CGGGTGTCCTGCCGCTAGCGGGACCGCCTAGAGCGGGGAGGGGGGAGGGTGTGCGGCCGCCGGTCTGTGGGATGCAGGGCCGGGCAGGCCCCTGGCCCGGTACAGAAGGTGATTTCTGGGGTCCAGGTCCCAGAGGACGCGTGTGAGGGGATGGAGCCGCGGTGCAGCGGGTGCGCTTGGGTGGCGTCCTCTTATGCTCAGCGTAAACCAGCAGGGAGGTCGGCCCGTGTAACCGCGGAGTGCTCGTTACCGGGCGTTGGTGTTCCCGGCTCTTTCCTCGTCTTGCGGGCGTTGGTAGGACGTTGTTCAGAGTGTGTGTGTTTGTTCCAGTCCCTGTACTGGTACTTGGAAATGTTACCGAACGCCTCTTGTCATGAAGTGCACATTAACTGGGTGAGTATGGATCTAACAGCGTGCTGTGTTGGGTGAGTGTACTTCTGCTGCCGAGGTGTGGAATATCTGTGAGTAAGTTGCTTGCAGGAGCAGTGTTTTGAAAAGGAAATTTGTGATCTGGTGCGTGCTAAGTCTGAGATGCTGGATACAGCAGAGTGGAAAGAAAACACAGTCAAAATCTTTTTAAAAATAAATATTTTCCATAAAAATACAGAAGCCATACAGTTCAAATGACTGAAGCTTTAGAGTCGAGTTTACCTAAATAGATATCCTTTCAGAACTTCTATTTATCCTGTTGTGAATTACTATTCTGAAAATTTTCAGATAAAAAGGCCTATAGAAAAATTGAAGGACAATATGAAAGATCAGAGTCAAGATCAGATCCATGATTCTTTTGTATACCTGTGCATGGAAAAAAGCCTCTAAGATGCACTTTCTGCACATCTACGGTCACAGATGTACTGTGACCCGTCAAGTTGTATTCCTGGGATAAGGTGACAATTGACAAGCATGTTTAAAGTGGTGCATTTGGCAAACTGATTGGCTTTGATATGAAAATCCCATTAAGACAGTCCTGCATTTTCTTCTCACGTTCTTGTGTACCACCCGAAATACTCTGAACTGTCAGACCACGGTTTAAACTTCCTGCTTGAAATGATCAGGAGAGAAAAAAATCAACTTCGGAAGACTGGAAGAGGTTGGTGTTAACCTTGATCATTTCAGCGATGAAGATTATTGTTACAGGAGTGGGCGGGCAGTGGCAGGAACACATGGGAGTGGTGAGGGGGGTGGCAACTTCCATAGCTAGTGAATCATAGGTACCCTCAGGCATTCCTTAAGAGTAGGGAGCTGCAAAACCTATGCTGGACCTGGAGGCAGTGGCTTGAATGCAGGGGTTTGTTCCTTGATGGGCAGCAGTACTGAGCAAGTAGTGTGCAGAGGGCAAATTCAGACCTTGCTTACTGTGGTAACTTTGTCGTGTGTCTGCAAACAGCATCTGGCTTGTTTGTGGCAGTCTGCTTGCTACGTGTGAGCTCTGGTTTGCAGGCTCCTCCTGACCTTTGTGTAGCCGCAGTGGTTTCGATGTTATATGTTAACTCTGGGTCTCCTCATTGTACTTCTGAATTGCAGTATATACTGTCAAGTGGTTGATGGTCATTCTGTAGTTGCACTTGAAGCAAGCACTTAAAACATTTAAAACCTTTCTATAGCACTTGATTTAAAATGTTGTGTATCTAGCTCTTTCAGATTGCTCCGGAAATTATATACTGGAAGACTCTATGCATCTAAGAATAAGTATATGGTTGAGTGGTGTGATCCAGAGCTCCTTGAAGAGTGTCATTGCTTATTCTGTAAAGAAATGAGAGATATTACGCAGGAAAGCTGTAGAAGAAGGTATCAGATTTGCCTGATTACATGAGATAATTGTCTAACTGGTCAAAATATGGCTGCAGCAGGAAAACTAACGTGGCATCAGGTTCCCTTCATTGCCTTATGTGTGTGTATAGGATCGCTTTCCTGTTCCTCATATCCAAAGCCGTGATGCCACATAGATTTCCTGTTTCTACACATATTTTGTTAGTTATGTGTATTATTGATAAGACCCTTGATTGAAAATACAACCGTTACAGATGCTTTACTTAGTTAACTACCTGCATCGGATTGGTCTGCCTTTCTAATGTGGTGGGGTATTTTTTTAAACTCAGTTGGATTTCAAATACAAATCTGTACAATGAGTAAGAGCCAGTAATTAATTTCACAGCGTAAACGCAAGAGGGAAGTCTTTTTAGAAAACACATAGGTCAATCATGAATGCGCTGCCAACAGTGCTGTGTGTGTGTGAGGTAACTATTCTTTTACTCGTAAGTGTAACTTAGGACTCAGACTTTTGGTGCATTTCAATAAATCGACTTTTGTATCCCTTTGATGCTATGTTCACTGTTTCTGAAGACACGACCTTGAATTTTTTTGTTTGTTCTTTGAAAATATGTAGGGTCTAAAATTTTTGTTGTTTTTTATTAGACTTCTTGCTATTTTGCATGAAGTTCAAACTTTTATTTTACGCGCTGCAGAGGCCTCACATTTTTTCCCCAGGCTGTGTCTGCACTAGAGGATTCTCCTGGCATAGATGCACTGGCCAAGTGTGCAGCCCGTGACTGACGTGTTGGCAGAAGCTGTTAGCATAGGTGCTATATCGGGAAAAGTGGAACTACTTTTGAGATTCCTTCTCCTGTAAGCACAGCTCCTCAACAGTACAATAAACTGGTATTATTGGACCAGTTAAATGCGGATGAGAAAACTGCATCTGTGGATGACTCAAAGGTTGGGAAGTCAAATTGCAGCTGTTAATCAGAGAAGTTGTCATTGTTTCTTATAATTTAGGTGGAATGTGTCTTAGTTACTCAGTAACAGCAGTTGGTTTTTACGTGGTCTCTTAGTTTGTAGTGAATGTTGCGTAACTTAAACATGTTCAAGAAGTAAACTGCTTTGCGTTTATTGCATTAATTAATACCTAGTTGAATTTTTTTTTTTCTACTTATTCCATGGTAACTTCTTAGCAAGTTTATATCCTCCCTGTCTGACAGGAGTGAGCACTGGTTAATCAGTGAGGCAATATGTTAGTTGCTTCAGTATTTTTTTTTTTCTCCTTAAGTTGAAATCACTTCTTTTTGCAAGTAGGTGGTAGTCCAAATCTCACCCATAACCCTTTCAGCTAGTTCGTAGGCTAACCTTGTGGTTTTGATATGTGAGGAAGCATGGAGCAGAGATTCTTGAATCTTTTAGTCAGCCGTGTGGCATTGTGGATTGCAGACAAAGGTGTCTGGGTCCACAGCAGTTCACTGTCTTTGTACATTTTCCTCTGAGCTGGATATGGTGCTTGAGCGCAGCGGCGGGTGAACACGGCCAAACTCCCTGGCTTGTGTGGTGCCACATACCAGGATCAACAGCCAACCAGTATGGCTTCTTTCCAGTATCTATTTTAATAGCAATTGCTGAACGTTGCCTATCTCACCGCTGTGACATTAAATCAGTATATGAACGAGTTAAACCCCTTTGTCTAGATATGCTTATGTTGATACTTATTCTGAACTGATCTAAGCAAAGTATGTAAAAAGTCATTTCTGTTGTACTGTGCACCTGTTGCCTAAGAAATCTCACTGTTGATCTCTGGTAAGTCTTCTGTGTTTCATGCCATCTATAACGGACAGATGTAGAAAACTTAAATGTGTGTGTAATAGCAGAACAATTGTTAGACCCTTGGCAGGTCATGTGCAGCTCGCTTATTCGTGGTAGGTGTGAATGGCAAACTCATTTAAAAAGAGGTGACTGGTGGAGAACATTGACAAAATGTACTGTAAACTTGAGCTTAATTATTTCTAACTATAAAACGTCCTTGCTTGCGCTCTGAATGTACATCTGAAGCTCATGTGGACATAGTGGTTTTAGAGCTAAGGAGAATTTTAAAACCATTTGTATTTGGTTAATTAATGCCTTTCAGTATAGGTCTGAGATCAGACTTGGGATGAGCATTAGTCAAAAAAAAAAGAGAGGAAAGAGGTATTCGATAACAGTAGGTATTCAGGAAACAACACTAGTTTTTTGGTACCTGATCTCATTAAGAGTGCCCTTGAAGAGGAAAAAAGAAGTCTCCACTGGGGCTGGCACCTTTTTTTTTTTTTTTTGGCAAGTTGAAGAATTAAGATGGCTGAAACAGTAGTCCCCATCCATGTCATCTGTCAGACAAGGGCTCAAGCAAATCCTTTTCAACCAAAAGAAAACGCTGAAACTCACTGCTCGTGCTTCTGTTGTGAATCACTGCCATCATTGCCTGGCGGCAAATTTCTTGTTCTGCTTTAAAAAGCAACCTCCCTCAAATACATGAAGTTCTGAACTGCTAGTTTAACCACATTGGCATTGCTGGGCGTTACTAAGCTTTACTATTATCACAGCTGGCAGTCTGTTGCTGTTAAGCTGCTGTTGTTTGCATGCAGTTTCTGAACATTTTGTGAGGAAAGCACATTTGCTGAGATTGAAATAGCAGTTAGGAAGTTTTTGTCAGTGCTGTCTAGTCTTCAGACAGTTAGCAATCTGCTTGTTTAGTTCCCTAGATAACTGAGTGCTTCTCAAGTACACAAGTGTCCTTGGGTTTAAACTCTGTTTTATGACTTGTTAGTGAATAGTTGCTGGAAGTGGTCCTGAGATGTTATTTTTTCTGTAACTGCAGGTAACTTCTGAGCCATTTGTTTATACTGCCTTGGCAGATGATTGATTATGAACTTCCATTCATTTTATTGAGCTGGTTTGCTTGTTGCACGGATTCTTTGACTAGAAGATGACAAACTGTGAGAGTTTTTTGTGCTCTATATGGACCTTCACCTTAGGGACAAAAAATGTCCAGTGCACCACATAGAATGGCAATGGGTCAGGTGAGGAGAAGCAGTGAAATCAGAAAATAATGTCTAGAATTACTACGTTTGCGAGAAAGTGGAATAAGAAGGTTTGACGTTTTTTGATTACTTGTGCATGAGGTACATGAAATTCACTTGCATAATTGGTTTCTTGTTTGTGTACATCTTCAGTATAGCAGTTGAGGAGGACTGGAGGGCTGAGAAGCCCTTAAAAATTTTGCCAAGGTTACATCTAAGGCTTGACAAACTCTTTCAAAAACTGATCATATGTTAAGAATTAATTTTTGTATTCTTATTTGTGCTATTATGAAAAGGTGTTGCAGCATATAATGTGACATGAGTTCTTTAATATCTTTAAAATTTCACAAAAGTTAAAATAAAAGCTGTATTTTTGGTTTTGTTTGTTTTGTTCCATAAATTGATCAGTTGTATACCAAAGCTGTAAATTAATCCATCTTTTTCTGCTATGTTTTCTATGGTAAAGAGTTTCATGATTGCTAAGAAAATAAATCTCAGGATCATTATTTAAAAAAAGAGTTGAGTTTAAAACTTGGCATTGTGTTTTATCACCATTTGGGCTTCAAGACATCAATACGATGTTTTGTTATTTTTAATGCACAATTTCTGTGTAGTCTGTGTGGGATCTATTTTTCATGGGTATGAGATGCTAAGCGACTCTGTTTTTTCATCTAAGTCCGTCTCAGAATGGGTTTATTGATGGTACAGGGCTGATACAGTCGGCCATTCAACAGTGTATTGCATGCATACGGAGGACTAGAGCAGAACAGTGTGACTGAGGTTGCAGAGATAAACCATCTAAGAGCTAGGAGTCTAGCTTAAGGCAATGTAAACAATAACTAAAAAAGTTGATTTCTTTCTTGCCAGGGGTATTGCTGCTGACTTTATTACACGGTGACATGATGGCATGTTGTGCTCTTAACTCCTGCCTCCCTACCCCCAAATTTCTTGCATCATGCAATGAGTGGGGCAGAGAGTAATGATAGAGTTAGTGTCTATTCAGTGATTCGCTTCTGTGTAGTTGGTTGTGTGGTCTGTGGTCCTACTACTGTTATTCAAAGCTTACTCTGATAGGAGTTACTAATTTTAATGGGTTTTCCTGTGGCATAATGCCCATAGTGTCTATAAAGTTTTTGGTCCCTGTTGCATGTACTTCAGCCTGTCTGAAGGCTTCGCACTTCCCAAGAGCAGCAAGGCACCAGTGGCAGCCCCAGGACTACAGATTTCTTGCTTCCAGTTACAATTTCTGTCCCACGCCTGTCGTTGGAGCAGCCATTGCATTTGGATATTATCCATAAGTCCTCATCTCTAGCATGTGTCTTCATGCAGGGACTGCGGTGCAGGGCTGTCAAAGCACATAGGATGGAGCGGATGGACTGGTCAGCCTGCGGCACATAGTGGGGTAATAGATCCCTGGGCTAAAGGAATTGGCAGCGATCATAAAGTAGTAATCTAGTTGTAGGCTTGATCTCTGCAGTCTTAAATAATTTTCGTACTGGGAACACACATGTGAATATGACAGCATGGCCCATATCTTGTGTTTTTCTTTTTGGTACCAAGTAAATTGGAACAGCACTGAATTTTGTAGATTATTTCACAAAGACATTTCTAATGTGGTTTGCTGTGAAAATGCAGAAGGAGAAATTCAAGCTGACTTTCATGTATTGTAAGTTTTTCTGCTGCATATGCATAACCCTTCCCTTCGTTAAAAGAGAAGCGTTGTGGTGTCAGAAGCTAAAATTAGGACATACTTGCAGTAAATGTAACCTTTTCAGGCTTGGGTTAAGTTTTAAAGAAATGACTTACCAAATACACAGTTACTTGGCTCTCAGTGAAAATATTTGCACTCTAGTTCTGATTTGTGTATCTGTAGAGTTACACACAGTGTATGAAAGGTGTGAAGTTAATAATCTTTTAGCAATTTGAATTTAAATAATAAAAACCCAAAAAATCCAAAAGCCATGCAGATTATCTTGTTCTGTGGACAATGGAGATGGTGCAGATTGATTTTTCTGAAGCCCAGTGGGTGGTGACCTGTGAGAGAAGAGCTCTTCTGGCAGTAGTGATATTTAAGAAATTCCCTCCCTTATATGGTTTCACTTGTAAGTCTCTCCTCAGGAGAGTGCCTGTCCTTTTGTTCTATTTGGATGAGTATTTTTATGTAGGACCTAAGACTGGTACCCATTATCAAATTCTCTCAAGCCATGATTGACACCAGGACTTAAAAGAGGGGTTTTATAGCAACTCCCGGGTTCCTGTCAGGTTTTCAGTTTAAAAATCGTTTAGATGCTAAAAATGATCAGGTTGCCATGAAATGAGCAGACATTAAGGGAAACAAGCTGATGAAATACAAAGATGCTTTCAAGTTTGTCTTGCATCAATCTGGATGTAAGTTGGCACTGGTGGTGGATGAGGGGAGAGAAGCCTGGTCAAAGTGCCGCGTTGACAATTGCCAGCAAATCCTAGATGATCTCTTCAGTGCATGTGATTCAACAGGTGAGACGTGGTGAATCCTGCAGCTATTGTTTAAGGCTTTACTGCCCCCAGTTTGTACTCTTCCCCTCCTCAGAGAGGTTGGTAGGATGGCATGTGTGCTCATACCTCTGTTCATTTTGGTCTGGCGGGTTAGCCTGAACTGCCCGAAAGTGTTGATCTTTGAAGCTAGGCTGTGAAAGAGGAGCAGAAATCCGGAAGATGGATGTTAGGATCTTTTGCAGCTCTGTATTTCTTAGATGCAGGTCATACCCCTTTGGTGAAGAGAGGCTTTTTGCATGTTGATTCCTTACAAACCACAACATTTGATAACCGGTCTGTAAACCTAGGGGTTACAGGTAGCACTGCTGGTTTCTGCAGAAATGCAGGTGATCAACAGGCAGTGCGGAACATAAAGATTCATTTAGCAGGGTCACAGGTCAGTCAGCAAAGTTTTCCTTCCTCTGCTAAGACTGACAGTCCATGATGGTCCAGCACTTTGTATCAGCAGTTGGATGAAGAAGGTTGTATGAAGCTGTAGAGGAGTTAGCTGTAAAGTTAGTTAATTTGTCTAATGTATGGAAGGCAAAACAGCTTTGTTTTCCCTGCAGGCTTTATTCATCTTGTTCAGAAGGTCTTTCCACAAAGTGTTTTGCGTATTTAATTTGTAATCTGCTAAGTCAGCTCTGGCCTTACAGGCTATGTGTATTTCAGTGGGAAACTTTGCCTATTTGAATTGCTTTGAGGGCTCTGTCGTCTTCACATATTTAGTCTTTGGAGAAATAACTTATCTCATTGGTTCTTCTGATCACGTCATGTAAGATTAAAACCTCTTTAGCTTTCCAAAGAGAAAGCACTGCGTTGCTTAATACCATTGTAGCAAATCTTTTTAAAAGTTTGTCTCCTATCTGATATACTTGCAAAAGAAAATCTATGGAGTTTTTCCAGGAGATGGAAGGAGTGAGATTTTCAGAAGTCTAGGCTAGAGTTTACCACTCAGATCCATTTTATATCTCTCAAGATTAGCCCTTAAGTGCATAGCTTGCGTGCGGTGATGCTTTTCTTATTTGAACTGACCTATCACTTTGTTTTTCAGAGCCCTCTTGATAGAGCCCAAGCAGCCAAGAACAAAGGAAACAAGTATTTTAAAGCAGGAAAATATGAGCAAGCTATTCAGTGTTATACTGAGGCTATCAGCCTGTGCCCTCCTGAGAAAAACCTTGATCTTTCTACCTTCTATCAAAATAGAGCTGCTGCCTATGAACAACTGGTAAGAAATTAAATACAATGATGCATTTATTCTAAAATGTTGTATTATAAATTGTGTATTTTGTCACTTTTGTACACTGAGAGATCCCAGGCGGTGATACCTGCTGCCTTCACAACAAGATACCATTGCTTGCAGCTATTTTTCACTAGTTCATCATACTTTTCCACATATAAATGAAACTGTTTTCTGTTAACTATTTTTGGTCTATTTTAAGTAATTCTTATTTACCCCTTTCTTGTAAGACAGGGTTTTAATTTCTTATCCTCTGGAAATATTTTCTTGTATATGTTAATTTTGCTTCTCTGTACTAGAGTGTTTCTTTAACTTTTAGGTGAAAGGCCAAATGTTTTGGAAGGATGCTACTTCAAAAATTAAACAAACAAAAAAAAAGAATCACAGAAATCCTACTGAAGCCCAAGACCTAAATTTTGCACATGTGGAAGTAACGTTGATAGCAGAGTATACTTGATGTTACTTTTAGAAGTCAACCAGTGGTGTTTATTATGGCACCAGTAGATTTGCTTATGAGGTCAAGGTGGTGAGGACTGGAAAAATTTTCTTTGTACAGTCTGAAGTATCAAGGGGGAGACTGTGATTAGAGAAATCTAGTCTTGAAAGTTAGAGGAGAGGTAAAACATCTCTTGTCTAATGAAATACTACTTAAAACACTAATTCGTGCCATAATGAATCCCAAATGTATGTGGTTCCTCTTTTTTTCTGTTACTAGAAAAGTCTATTTTGATAATCAGTTGTGGCAGATAAATGCATTTTTAGTTCTTAATACCCTTGACCAGCTCCGCTGCTATGTGTTTATTTATCATCCCTTTGTAGTTACACAGCGTAGTAAACTGAAATAACAAGTATAAAAACTGTTTTAGCGTTTTGTTGAACTTGTTTGTTTTCATTATGTTTTCATCTTTTTTCTTCTGTTTGTTTTGTACCAGTCTTTCAGTCCCAATGTAACCTCCTGCAAGCATCTTCGCATCAACGCCTTACCTTCTCCCATGTGCTTTGTACAGCTGTCTGGGTCCATTTTCTGTAGGAATTCCTTTTCTGTTTTGTGGCTCTTCTGGTGCAGGTGGCTTCCAGTGGTGCCTGGCAGTTTCTTACTGAGAAACTTGCAGAAATAGAAGCAAGCAGGTAGAACCAGAACCCTGGGAACTGCAGCTCCTGTTAGGTGGGCATGACCCTGGAGTTGGTAGTGGAAAGCTAATATAATGCAGCTGAGTAGGGCCTCTCTCATTGTGTGGCTTTTCTGCCCACAGCAAAAATGGACAGAAGTGGCACAAGACTGCACAAAGGCTGTTGAGCTTAATCCTAAATATGTAAAAGCTCTCTTCAGACGCGCAAAGGCTCACGAGAAGCTAGACAATAAGAAGGAATGCTTAGAAGGTGAGTGTCTCTTGGTGTATACTTCGAAGTGGAATTAGCTGAGGCACTTTGTAGATTCTGGGATTGTTGTTGTCTTTACTCCTATAACTACAGTAATTCTAATACATTTTCTTCTCTTGTAAGAAGAAACCTTTTCCATTATTCAAGCGGTCATCTGCTTAAGTCTGAAATAGCTGCTGAGAAATTGATGTTACTGTAGCTGCTCCAGGTATTCTTTTTCCAGGAATATCCCTACATTTTAGAATAGAATTCATCTAACATGCTGAGTGGATAACCCAGTTACTTCCATACAGTAAACAAACTTTCTTCCCTGTTTGTTTTGGAGAAATGGTACTACTACAGAAACCAAGGTGTTTTTGCAGGTGGAGATACATGGTCAGAAACGAGTATTACAGTCATTTGAATGCATTTGGCAGGTATGAAAGGGAAAACAGTTCAGTAGCATTTTGTTCTGATGTATAACTGTTACAAAAATTGAAACAGGTTTAACCTTTATTTTAGTATTAACACTATATATTTGGCAGAAACTACTGTGTCAAATCCCTCCAAATGCTATTCCTAACAGAATACATTTTGAACTGTCAGGAAGTCGTGACTGAGAAGCCATGAAAATGAAGGGGAACTACAGATCACGTGTTGTCTGAGGGCACTTTAGAACTAAGGGATGCTGCTCGAAGTGATCC